TAATGAATGATCAAGCATTCTATAAATGCTTGATCATTTTAGCAAAAGATGCATCTGCATCTAAAAAACTTATTCTAACATGATCTGGTAACTATTTTTTTTATTTATTAACCAATTAATAATTTAATAGTAAATGGTGAAAATAGGAGATTTTGTTTTATGAAAATATGAACCAGGTGAATTTAAAACTACTCCACATGAGTTTGGAGTGGAACATATTTACAGACAAATGATGTTTTTATCATATGACATAAATGCATACATTGTCTTATTTTCTGCTTTGACGGTGTTGTTCTTTCAGCAAACGCCCTTTTTGTTAACGATTAATCGATTTCTACATGAGTTGATCATTTCAATAGCTGCATCGTTTCAATTCTAACATTAAACCATTTTACAGAATAGTTTCCACATTTTTTAATGAAATTTGTTGAATCTACTTATTAAAAATGACAGGTGATGAAACTGCAACAAAAGAAGCATGAGTTTTAGATTCAAAAGTGTGCGTGTTGAATAATAACAGCAACAGGAAAGTTTGGTTTAAAGATGATTGACGCTGCTGTGATTCTTTCTGTTGGACGTTTTTTCACTGATATTTTTTAGGATGAAATGTGAAACCAGCTGGTGACCAAAGATTAAGTTTCCTCCAGATGTACACAGAAAAACAGCAGGGAAAAAAAGGTAAATAACGTTGTTTTTAAATGATGACGACAGATTTAGTTCGGTAATTTTGAAGCGAGCAGCTAGCTGAATGCATGGAGAGGTTAGAAATGCAGAGTGTGAGCAGCTTCAGCTCCGGTAACATTCTGTTCTTTTGCTCGGCCTGAACCAGGAGCCGCAGGCTGCAGAGCCGCTTCCTGACGGGCAGAAACCTGCTGCAGCCGCATCCACATTTCATCAATCCTCTTATATAACCTGCATGACGCGCATGTCAGCTCAAGAAACACCAATAAAACGCTCGCTGTGGCCAAATTTAACCCAAATTCAGCAACAGAAACCCCAGGTGGTGTTGGTGAGCTTAAATGAGGAGGAATCAGAGTAAGTTCTCACCTGAGTGACGTGCGGCTCCAGCAGCTCGGCGGCCTCTCGGTAGCCGCTCACCTGCAGGTGTTGCTGGATTAAAACCAGCAGCGCGGCGTCCTGCTCCGACTCCATGGTGGAAAAACACGCAGGCCGAAAATACGGCCGCAAAATGCATCCAGGAATTAATAACACTTCACTTCATGCTTGCTATCCAGCAGCAGCACGTGTGCGGGACGACTCCTACCTCGAACTGCATCATGGGAAGTGGAGTCCTGTCTCCTAAGGGAAGATTACAAAACATTTTCATGGCGTTACGAAGAAAACTGGTGTTTTGCTAAAATGTTGTTGCCGATTAAATGTCACAAGGAGGTAAATTTTAGATCTAATTGATAAGCTAATATAAAATAAACATTTAAGATCTATTCCATAATATTAAATAAATGAAGAAATGTAAGTTTAAAATGTATNAGTTATTTGTCAAAACATGTATAGCATTATTTTTTCACTGAAATTAACATCTAATTGCTTGAATAACAACAATATAGTATGAGAAGAGCAGGAAACTATAATATCTTCTACCTCTTCCTTTTGAAATAAATGTAAAATCGCATGCCAGCTGGCATGATTTTTTTTTATGTTTCTGCTTTTTATTGTCTGTTTGAAATAAAAAATAATAATAATTTAAAAATAAAATAATATGCATGTAAATCAAGGGTGTCCAAAATTTGGCCCCACAACTACAATTTAAAAATAGAAACTTGGTCTGCAGCCCAGCTAAACATATGCAGACACTTTGTTTTTAATTACTGCAAAATTGTAACAAACGAATTAAAATCTTCTGATACTGGAAAATGTTTGATGTTATAGAAGGTTTTCATCTCTTAACAGTCACTTTTTACACAAAATGATTTACACGCCATTTACTCAAAAAAGTCAAAACTTAAATTGTTTAATTAAATTATTGCATGTTTAGTTCATTGTTATTTCATAATTTTGTTGTGAAACTGTTGCAGAAATTATATTATTTTGGCCCCAAAGTAAATCTAACTTGTGGCAAAAAGTGGCAGCATCATGCTGTGGGAATCCTGGTTCAGTCTAATCTTGGACAAAACCATTTGGAAACTGTAGAAAACGTAAGATTAGGAAAAATTTACAATTAGAATTGGGTAGTAACTACATTTACTTGAGTAACTTTTTAGAGAAAAGTTAACATTTTTACTAAGGTGTACTGTTTACTTTTACTTGAGGTGCTACTATTACTTGAGTAAACAAGCTTGTTTTAATTGAAAGAAAATCACCAGACACACACCTGCAGTTTTTGTTAAAGTTAATTTGTAATTATGCTACTTACATGAATTATTTCCATGTAGGTCTTTAAAACATCAAAATGTCCACATCTTTTTCTATTTTGGTCCGTCTGATTATGTAATTTTTAAATATTAAATGATTGATATTTTGATCAGTTTCAACTTTTTACCGTATACTTTTGTACTCTTACTTGAGTAATTTCACTTTTTACTTGAGTAAAAAATAGGCTGAAATTAACTTATTGATCTGTTGTTGCTGATTTCTGAGCACCTGGCCAAATATCTCATAACCTCAAAGCCTAAGAAGAAGAATTAGAGAAATAGAAACTTCTAAAAAAAAAAGTTATATAAATTTAAGAACAATCGGTTCACTACCAGATAATCAGAGATGTATTACAACACCTGGAAGAACCGCCTCAGTCATAAACAAGAGCTGCTGCAGAGCATTCCTCAGCATCATTTAATCATTTAAACTCAAGGGAAAAAAACGATTCATGACAATGTTCTTACTCAGCGCCAGTGAATCAGGCTGTAATGAATCGTTTCCAGCCACACACGCTCTCCAACAGAAAATAAATTATTTCCAGATTTGGACGAGTCAGATGTAAAGTATTTCGCTCATGTATGCATAACTGCTAGAATATGGGTCGTTTTCCTGGAGTTTTTGCTGAATAAATATTCTGCATGTTTTTCATTACTGCATTAAAAGTTGCATAAAGCAGCAGGAACATTCCTGGATTCCTCCGGAGCGCCAGCTGGCTCCCTCCCTTCCCGGCAGCCCAGCCTCCCCGCCGGCGAACCGGTCGGCTGATGTGCTCACAGTGTTCCTGCCGGTTCATGTCACAGAAAGTGACGGCCGGTTACAAAAGCCACAACATAACAAGCACATGATGTAAAACAAACAAACAAACAAACAAAAAACAACAACAACAGTAAAAGTAACGTTGTTGTTAAACGGTCCGTCCCGTAAAGTTACACAAAATGGCGGATGTAAAGTAGCGTATCCTTCAAATTAGAGCAGTAAAAGTGTATAAAAACTATTTCAATGAAACAAGTCACATATAACCTATAGTAACACGTTTATGATATGTTGTTTGAATACAGTTTTATCTAGCTTGAATCATTTGTTTTTGGGGAAATCATGCTTTCTCGAAGGGCTGGATTCCTCAGCTAGCTTCAACTGCTGATGTCACAAACAACATGAATGTATTTGCGCAATATAAATCTAAAAGTAAACTTAATACAGTCATATTTAGGGTCTTTTTTAAAGCATCTAAAACTGATTACTGCTTTAATGTTTAATCTAAAACATGAATAAAATATATTTTCTGAACTTTGTCTATCCGGGCTTAGCCTAGTTTATGTACTAGCTAGTTCTACACAGGCTAATTTCTGTCTGCTAACGTAGAATATAAAATTTATTTCTATGGAAGCAAAGAGTGGACATTTTCCCCATATGTTTTTTCCAGATGGTTTTCTCTAGAGAAATTAATTTTCCAATGAATTTCACAAAATTAATTTGTTCTCTCCTGAAAATCATGCGCTCTCAGCTTCTGTATTTATCTTGCTCCAGTTTAACCAACCAAAACTAACATGAACTCATGCCAGTTTAAAATACCAACTATCCAGGACAATAAGATCCTGATCTTTTTATTCAACAATCATTTGGTGAAGGGTCAGTACAATCTGAGAAGAATGTACACATTTAAGTACAATTAAATCCAAATTTTCATAAAATACAGTCAAATTCAGTTGATTAGATACTAATTTGTGACAGGTTACTGCAAAAATACAATTTAATTACGTGAGACTGAATTTAATTTCTTTGTAAAGTACCTCCAGATGACATTTGTGGTGACTTGGCGCCATATAAAAAACTGAATTCAATTCAATTCATATTGAGTAGGAATACAGTCACACTGTAAAGAAAACACTTTTAATGATAACAAACCTCCAACTGAGCCACGGTTAGCATAAGCAATACTCTTCAGAAGACGGGAAGCAACGTGAAAAAAACAGAAAATAACTGGGTCAGGAGTATTTCCAATGGTAAGGACAAAAAAACTATTTAGATATTACTGCTGCTTGGTTGGTAGGCTTACTGGTTGATTGATTGGATGGATGGATTCTTATTTTTTTAATTAGCAGCAAGTGGTTCACTGTCAATGAAAGGTTCTCGCCATCAGTGGATGAGTTTATTGAGTGAAGAAACTCCAGAACATGTTGTACCATATCTGGTGACCACCGTATACCGGGACTGTTGGAGGTGCTGTTGCAGTTTTACGCCATTCTTTGCCATATCTCGGCCTAATGCAAAATGAAGAATAAAGAAAAACCCTAACAAAGAATGAAAGGTAACATCATAGCCACTAATTGTGACAACTATGGAAATATAAATGGCAGCAGAATATCATAGCTCTTATTGGATATTGTTGTTACCACACTGTAAAATAAGTAACCTTAACTGTTTCAGGACGCTGAAACAGTTCTTATACCATTAATAAAATTGACTTTTTATTCTTAAGACAAAGGTGAGAGTTAGCAGAAATAGATTAGTTTAAATATTTAGTTTCCACAATGTCTACTAAGAGCTAACATGTGACGATCTATATTTCCATAATCGTCCAAATATTAGTGGTCAGATTTTACTTTTCATTCTTTGTTCGGCTCTTTCGTTATTTTTCCTTTGGTATGGCAAAGTACGGTGTAAAACTGCTACAGCGCCTCCTATGGTCACAGAATATGGCGCAGCACCTGCAGACAGAGTGGGTGTTTTATTGTGAAAGTCCGCCCGGTACCGTGACGGTGTCATAGGAAAACTTAACGTCCGCGCCGCCGTGTTTCATCGGCGGCCAGGACGCTCAGTCCGAGGGAAGGAAGGAGGCTTGGGGGGAAAACTTGAGGACATGCGGCGTCTTCTGCAAACTTGTCGCCAATTAAACCGCATCGGAGCAGAAAGAGGAGCGGAGATGTAGACTGACGTCAAGAGCCGTTCATTCCTATTGATCCGTTATCGAGGTATTGATTTAGGCCTAATTTGAACATCACATTGCATGAAAAGACAACAAAACATGTTTAGAGGCTTATTTATCCTGAAAATTGAACCTTTAAAATTTCTTAAACTGTTTATAACTACTTTATTACTGCATTATTAGCATCTCTAATCTAATTTTAAACAGGAATAACCAGGTAATTAACTAAAAAACAGGATAACTGCGTTCATCCAGGAGGAATTAATGCATATCGAGCTGTCACAGGAAGTTAGTTCATTCCCAGCACACTAACACAGTCAGAGGGAAATATGTGCTCCAGTAACTCAGTGGGAACCGGTTCAGTATGGTCTCTATTTAGGCGGAGGCAGCTGCTTCTCATCATGTTGTTTCTTTATACAAGCTAAAACATGTCCAATATTAGACCAATTACTGTTTTTCTTCTTTTTACTTCATAAGGCATGTCAATTTTAGGGTAAAAACATAAACTTCCCTAACAGAAAGACTTCATTGTACTATTTTAAATGGTTTTGATTAGTAAATCCCCAGCGTTTCTGGAGGTCTGACAGACTTTTCCTTGTTTTTTGGCTTGTTTTCTGAACACAGCTTAAGTGGAGAAGTGAAGAACAAAAGGGGAAAGCATCCAGATAAATATCTTCAGTGGACAGACAGTATCTGAAACAGTTTAGAAGAACAAAAACAGTTTTTCTTCATAAAGGCCACAGGCTTAAAGTCCGACCTCAATGCAAACAATAACTTTCCAGTTAAAGCAAGCTGCATCGCCACAATTATATAGAAAAGTTCAGCCAATGCCACAGTTTTCATAACTCCAGTCTTAGTCGAGTCTCCGACTGCTGACTCCATTTAGAGCTTGCAAAAGGTTTTAGACTACTAGAAGTTTTACACATTTTGTTGCATTTTAAGCAAGAAATCACTGTGTTTTTGTGAGATTTTGTAAAATAAACCAATGAAGATCATCGAGTTTTAATAAAATTGTGTGACAGCTCTCATGAGACACAATTTCAAAACTGGATCATTACTTGCACGATCAGATTGATGCTTCAGTTTTGTAGTTTCTTTAGTTTCACAATCCTTCTTCAAATTTTCTCTTATTCTTATATAGTTTCTCAAATCTACTGCAAAAAGGATTTGGTTTGATTTTTTTGCACTTCATTTATAAAACAATGCACACAAATTTACTGTCATGTCATGTAAAAGTTATTAAAATATTTTGTAAAGAGAAACTTTATCTAAATTCTCTCCTATGTTTTACCAAAATAATTCAAAGAAAAACCACAAAAACGCTTTAAACTCAGGAGTTTGATGCTATGTTATACTTAAGTTCTATTAAGTATCGGTACTGGTGATACTGGCTCTGTATTTGATCAACACCAAAATATTCTGTATCTCACACTTCTGCCTTGTAAAATGGGATTATCTACACCAGTTTTTCTTTGTTTTTTGACTATTTTTAGTTTATTAATTATCTCAAACTCAGTAAAACATTACAAAAAGCACCTTTGAACATCAGTTTTCCAGTTTTTCCATGGAGTATTATTATATTAATTATACAGAATCTTTTTACAATGGTAAATGTGAAGATCACAACACCAAGTATATACCTTTTAATAACCACACCTTGGTCTTATTTTTTTTTTATTAAATTTGATCATAAATAGGACTTTTATTTGAAAGCAGTAAATGGTGTTTTTTTTTTTTTTTTAAGTTACTGAAAAAATAGAAAACAGTTGACCTCCAAAATATTTATTTGTTGGGGAGATTTTTCTTTTAACAAGTCTAAAGTGCAAAACAACCTGCTGAGCAGCTTCAAGTTCTGTCCTAATATCGGTTACCTAGCAACGACCTGATGAGTAACAAGCAGCTTCAAGTTCCGCCTTGACATCGGTTACCTAGCAACGACCTGATGAGTAACAAGCAGCTTCAAGTTCCG